GCAGCCGCTTAAAGGCCTGAGCTAGGGCCAGGCCCCCCCTTTCTTTCTTAAGTTTTTTTTGAGACAGTGTCTCTCAGTGTATTCTGGGCTAGCTTTGAAGTCACTATGGACTTTATGCTGGCCTAGAACTTGAGGAGAACCTTTTGCTTCAGCCTCCCAAGTGCTGGGATTATAGGCATACACCACCATGACCAGCTGTTTTGTTTTAAGACAGTCTTTCTTATGTAGTCCAGGCTGGTCTCCGACTCACTATTCTACCATGTTTGGCCTCAAACTCAAGATTTTACTGCCTCAGCCTCCTCAGTGCTAGGTTATAGGCATGCACCACCATCTCAGTACGGTACATTGTCAGTTTTTGTTTTGTTTTCCAGTTTTGAGGAGTGAAACTAGAGCCTTTGAATGGAGCTGCACATCTAGCCTTTAGTTGTCATTTTTTATTTTGAGACAGTGTCTTACTAAATCACTAAACTGTTCAGGCTGGGCTCATCTTTCCATTCTTCTTCTCCCATCCCCCAGAGTGCCTGGATTACAGGTATGTGCCACCACACCCGAACCATTTCCAGTTTTGATAAACTTGGCCAAAATGCAACTACCCAGAGAGGTTTTAGCATGTTTTATAAGCAACAGTGTATGGAATATCCTTATTCCTCATCCTTGTTCTATTTAAGGAGCTTTTAACTGCTAGCATTATACTTGTTAAAGTTTATAGGAAGCCATCGAATTGGGATGAACCTTGCACCCCACCCAATTAGTCAAACCGAAAGGGAGTCACTCACGCCGAAGTTCCAGATAAACAAACACAACTCAGACATTTACCTGATCTTCTAAGAAATCAGGAATGAGAGGCAATTGCCATATCCCCAAACATGCTAGTTTTAGTAGCTATGTTAAGTTCCTTGAAGTTTTTTGAAAGTAACTTTGAAACTAGCAATCTGATTTTTGTTCTGCTTTCCTCAGCCTTCTCTGTCTATATCTGCTCAGCTCCTCAGAACACTTGCTCTGTTTTATGGATTGAGGTGTTACCTGATTTATGAAGATCTTTAAAAAAATTCTTTGTTGAGACAGGGTCTAGTTATATAGTCCAGGTTGGCCTCAAAATAATAAACCTCCTGCTTCAGCCTCCTAACTGTTGGGGCTACAGGTATGCACCTTCAAGTCTGGTGCCAACAAAGTCTTTTTGAGACGGAGTCTCACTGTATAGCTCAGACTGGCCTTGAACTTTCTGTGATCCTTCTGCCTCAGCATCCTGAGTGCAGGGAGAACAGGTGCAGGCCACTACACCTGGCCAGTGTTGAAATCTGTTGTGTACAAAAAGTGCGTGAAATGGGATTTTAGAACTTTCTTGTGCATCAGGAAGTATAATCTCCTAACTTTTTTTTTCAGTGCTGGAGATCCATCCGGAGTATCATACGTAGTCAAGCACTCTAGAACTGAGCTATATCTTCAGCTTTTAAATTTTATTTATTCTGAGACAAGGTCCAGCTAATTACTCAGACTGTTTTCTCTCTCTCTCTCTCTCTCTCTCTCTCTCTCTCTCTCTCTCTCTCTCTCTCTTTTGTGGAACCAGGGATTTGAACTCAGGCCCTTGCGTTTGCCAGGGAAGCTTTTATTCTACTGAGCCATCTCCCTAGTCCCCACAAACTGCTCTTGAGCTTGGGATCTTCCTATCTTAACCTGAGTAGCTGGGTTATAGGCAAGCACCACCATACCCAGCGCTCTATCTTCTTTCTGCTGGATTTCCTTGAAAATGAAAGCAGATCTTATGATCCAAAGATACAGGAGGGGAGCGCGGGCCGCGCCAGTGCATCGAGCGAGAGGCAGCCGCCGAGATGGACGTGTTCCTCATGATCCGGCGCCACAAGACCACTATCTTCACGGACGCCAAGGAGTTGAGCACAGTGTTTGAGCTGAAGCGCATCATCGAGGGCATCCTCAAGAGGCCGCCCGACGAGCAGAGGCTGTACAAGGATGACCAGCTTCTAGATGATGGCAAAACACTGGGAGAGTGTGGCTTTACCAGCCAAGCAGCAAGGCCACAGGCCCCAGCCACAGTGGGGCTGGCTTTCCGTGCAGATGACACCTTTGTGGCCCTGCGCATTGAGCCCTTCTCTAGCCCTCCGGACCTTCCAGATATGATGAAGCCTCAGCACTCTGGTGGCAACGCCAGTGAACAAGCTGTACAGTGATGGCCCCTGGCCCACCCTGAGGACCATTGCCCCTATAAAAGATTTGGCTTTCAAAAAAAAAAAAACAAAAAAAAAGATACAGGAGGGCTTATTTTCAGGGGATGTCTTATTTTTTCAATGCATTTTATGTACTACCATCTACACCTATTCATGTGTAAAATCTACATATGTACCTGTACAAAAATATTTATTTTTAATTTGGTACAGGGTCTTACTATGCAGTTTAGACTCATAGTGATCTTCATGTCTCAGTCTTCCCAGCACAGGGATTACAGGAGTGCACCCCCATGCCTGGTTTCAGGAGTGGTACAGCATGTCTGGGATTCCGGGCTGGCACAGCATGTGGTTCCGGGGTTTGAACTCTGGTCCTTGTGGTTGCCAGGCAGGTGCTTACACCCCCAAGGTATCTCCCCAGCCCAGTTTATTTAAATACAGTCATGTCATCTTCTGGAACCTCATAGCTCTCCAAACCCCGAATTTCAGCCTGAGTTTCTTGCAATTCCATTTCCTGTAGAGCCACTGGCTCTAACCTCTCATGTCCAGCAATGGAGTCCTCCTTCAGTGACCACTTCTTGTTCATGCAGCCTGCTCGCGGCGCACTGGCGACACAGCTGCCAGTGATCTTATCCCGTAAATTCTTCACCCAAGTTACAACCTTACTCCAAAGTTTCTATTCAATCAAGTCTTAATTTAAGATTTATAAGTTAGGGGCCAGGGAGATGGCTCAGTAGAATAAGTGCTTCCCTGGAAAGTGCAAGGGTCTGAGTTCAATCCCTGGTTCCGTCAAAAAAAACCAAAACAAACAAACAAAAAACAAACAAAAGGGACAAAAAATTGTTTGCACCAAAATTCAGAAAGTGCTTATTTCACACAAGTGCATGAAGTACATCCATTACACATACGTTCTACTGAATTATAAAGATTCATAGTAGACAATCATGTCCATTCATTATCAAGTGCAAATGTCATTTGCTTATTTGAAATAGGTTCTCACTATGTAGCCCAGGCTGGCCTTGTACTTAAGGAGATCCTCCTGCCTCAGTCTCCTGAGTGCAGGATTACATGTTTGTGCATTGTGTCTGTACTGACTAGCTATTCAGCAGTAAATCTTGAGTACATCTGTTTATATAGGGGTCTAAGCCTGCTTGGGGTTTTTACAATTTTTATTATCATTTATTTTAAGTATGTCAGGGGCCAGGGAGATGGCTCAGTGGGATAAGCGCTTCCCTGGCAAGCGCAAGGGCCTGAGTTCAATCCCCGGTTCTGCCAAAAAAAAAAAAAAGTATGCGAATAAAATTGATTTACATTTAATTATATATCATTTTATATATTCAATACATTTGTCCTTCGTTGTTGTTGTTTTTATTTTTTTGATCTTTTTGAGACAGGGTTTTGCTATCGGTTTAGGTTGGTCTCGTGCTCACTTTGTAACCCAGTCTGGTCTCAAATTTGAAATGATCCTCCTGCCTCTGCCTCCTGAGTGCTGGGATTACAGGCATGAGCCACCACTCCCTACTAACCTGTTGATCTTTTCTTGAGCTTATTCTTAGGGTTGATATATACTCATCCTGAAAAAGCAAGTTAGGGCTTATTTTCTGGTTAGGTCTTATTTTTGGAGAAATATGGCATCTAATATACCTAGGTGAAGTCACAGTTCAGAGTTTTTAGCCTGGATTTTGCCTTAGGCCCTAACTAATAGTTGTTCTCAGCCAAAACCCTGACATTTTCGGAACCAGGGATTGAACTCAGGTCCTTGCACTTGCCAGGGAAGCGCTTATTCCACTGAGCCATCTCCCTGGCCCCTAACCCTGACATTTTTTAGAAACCACATATATTCTCTGCAATTATTTTTATGGAAGTAGCCAGTCCAAGAGCGTTGCTCAGTTCTCCTTGCTGCTGATCGGCTGCTGCCCCGTAATCTGTGTGTGGGGTGCACCTTCTCTAACTGCTGCATTTGCCTTGGGAACTAAAAACTTATGCTTCAGCAGCACGATGGGCACTTGCAGGCATTTTTTCTGACCATGTCTGAAATTTGCGGTTATTTCACAATTTGTGGGTGCTCCAAGACATAACACTCGTCAATCTTGGGGAGTCCACTGTATTTTTTTCTTTTCTTTTTTTTTTTCTTGGCTGAACTGGGGATTGAACTCAGGCCTGTGCACTTGCCAGGGAAGTGCTTAGTCCCCTGAGCCATCTCCCCGGCTCCTGGGGTTTTGTTTTGAGATAGCGTCTTACCAATGTAGTCCATGCTGGTATTTAACTCAGGGAGTTCCCCCTGTCTTGGCCTCTGGAGTACCAGGATTACAGGTATGTGCCATCACTTCTGGCCTTTGTCCCAGATTGGGGTTGAACTCAGGACTTTGCACTTACGAGGCAGGCATTTAAGCTGCTGAGCTATCTCCCGGGCCCTCTCCCACAGTTTTAACAAAAGAAGCATATTGAGGCACATAAGGCAGTGTCACACTAATGATCAGGAAAGAAGCTACTTAGCCTAGCCTGAGGACAGCAAAAATACATGTTTTTCAAAAAGTAAAAGAGCTAACTAATCTACACTTTCTTTCTTTCTTTCTTTCTTTCTTTCTTTTTCTTTTTTTTTTTTTTTTTGTGGAACCGGGGATTGAACTCAGGCCCATTGCCTTTGCCAGGGAAACGCTTATTCCACTGAGCCATCTCCCCAGCCCCTAACCTACACTTTCTTACCAGACCTCTCTGACCTGGAAATAGTGACCACAGAATCTTACAAATAAAAAAATATTGCTAAAGGTGTCCGTTAACTTATTTCATGAAGCACACTGGTAATCCATTTTCATTTTTTCCAGGACTCAAGCCAGGAGAATTAGTTTCCATCTTTTAAAAAATTTTATTATATATACATATACATATGTATGCATATATATTAGTTTTTTAGTTTCCACCTTTCTGCAAGGCGCATATTGATTCTTTTATTAGGGTTGTGATCCCCCCCCAACTGTCTTCCCCCCATGACACTACATTCATAGTGCTTTTTAAATTTTGAGACAAGGTCTCACTAGGCTGTCCAGGCTGATCTGTTCTGATCCTGCGTAGCTGGAATTAAAGGCGTGAGTGAGCACGAGTTTCATATCCCTTCTTGGATAAGTGGAGCTTCCAAGAGAAAGTTCTCTTGATTCAATGAATCAAGCTAAAACCAGGTGGGCACTTGGAGACTACATTCCCCAGCATGCATTGCCCCACAAGGACGCAAACTAGTGGCGGAGAGATGACGCACTATACTTGCGACGGGAAATGGGGCGGGGTGGACGACTATGTATTCCACGACGCAGAGTTCCACTCTAGACCGCTCCTGACTTGCTCTCCCTGCTTAAGGAGCACGATGGGAGAGAAACGTTTCCATTGGGGATTCTTGTAGTCTATCAGGCCATGTCATTTCAGAGGAAGAAAAGTAGGGGGGCCCTTCACGTTGGCGCTGACAAGTTCCCGCGCAAGAGCGGCGTGGCGTCGGGGAACTCTCTCATATTGTTTCTCCGAGGCAATGCTGTAGGACCTCATTTGTTGAAGACTTGAGGCAGGTGGAAAGTCCGTGGAGCCCCAAATCAAAGTTCTTGGTGGTTCCCCATTGGCCCTATTTGGTAGCGCAGGCGCGAGGGCGCCGACTCCAGTCCCTAGGGGCTGGTGAACCGCAATTGGCCGAAGCCCGCGAAGTCGGAGTCCGGATTGGTAGTTGCTAGCAGGAGTCTGGTTTCTTCCTCTATTTCTGCGAGTGATAGTGTGTGATTGGTTTAAATCCGCGGGCCCCTATCGGTGATTGGGCGAAAGCTACGGACTGGCTGCGGTCATTGGCTAGTGCTGGGGCCATCCCACCTCCGGCGGGCAGCGAATGATGAAATGGGAACGGGGAGGGGAAAGGCCGCGACGTGAGCGCGCGACCTCGGGCGCCATTTTGTAGAGAAACAAGCGGAGTTAACCGAAGAGGGGGGTCGAGGAGAGCTGGAGTCGGGGACCCAGGAGATTCCTGTGTCCAGCGCCGCCGGAACCGCTTGAGGTGAGGTGGGCTGGGGCCGGGGGCTGGCCCAAGGGGAAGGTGTCAGCCTACGGGCGCGAGTGCGGGTGGAAGAAAGATCCGGGTTGGCCCTGGGGCCACTGGAAGTGTTTCCCAGAGCTCCGGGGAGCGAGGGCCGGCCGGGACGGGGAAGTGGAGCGAGGCGGGAGAGGGCAGACTCCGCTCCCCGCGATTCGCGGAGCCTTCGGCTCCTGGAGGCAAGACGCCGGCGCTGAGGCTGCAGGAAGCGGAGGGCTGGGCGCAGGTTGAGCCCCACGGCGGCCCCCAGCCCGGGCCTGGAGGCGCAGGATGGCGGTGGCGGCTGTTGTGACCCTGGCTTCGCGCGGGCTCCGCTCTTCCTGTCCCCGCGAGCGCGTCAACTGCTCTGCTCCGTTCTCCCGCGCTCCGGGGCGGGTGCAGCGAACGGCGACCTCCCCCCGCCCCCCGCCCTAACTCCTGGGCTGGGGCCGTGTTCGGAACTGTTGCGGGCTCCGGGCTCTGTTCCGGGTCCCTGAGCTGCCCCCTCGTGTGCCCCCGGCGCGGCGTCAGCCCGGGTGTTTCGGGTGCCTGCGGGTGGGAGGGGCGCGCGCGGGCACTTCCTTATTACTTCTCCGCCACAGGTTTTTGTTTCACTCGCGCGCCCGGCTCACACTTTCTCCAGAGCCGGCCCCCACCCGCTGAGCCCGGGCCTGTTCAGTGGCGGCTTTTCTGCTCATCCAGGGGAAGCGTAGCCCCCGCGAGTCCAGTACTTGTAGACCCCAAGGGTGCTGAGCAAGGTGCTGCGGGTTTTGTAGAGGTTGCTTCAGGCCAAACTCAAGAATCTCTGCTTTTTGCACCACCCTCTGCAGCTGTTCTCTACCTATGCTTACAAGAGGTTACCCCCGTGAGAACTGTGCTTTGTAGCTTTTAAGAAATGATCTTAGTGGTTTGAAAGTGTTGTATTTAAAATAAACCTATGAGAAGTAAACTTCCCATTTGAAGT